CCGATAAGCCCCGTTCGCGCTCCAGGGCCAGCTGTTGCTGCTGAGTTTGAGCTGCGGCGAGTTGATCCTGGAGTTTCGCGGCGGTTGCATCGGCATCTTTCAATTTGTCACCTGGTTGGAAATATCAAGTGAATATGGAATTACTAGCAAGGACCAAAAGAGGATCCACGTACTCGTGCGGCGAAGCTTGGATTCCAGTTCCGTTTGCGTCCGCTTGGCATCCGCCCACTCGGTAGCCGCCTTGTCCCGCTGGAGTTCGCTGTCCGCCAGCTTCGCTTGGATCCCGTCTCGCAATTGAGTTATACGCACGAGCTCTTCGAGCGCGTAATCTCGCCTAGCAGACGCTTTCTCGAGCGACTCTTTGGTATCTCGCAACTCCTCAGAGAGTTGATCCAGAGCTACATCTGGCGACGAGGGAGGTGGATTTGGCGCGGGGGACCCTCCACGCGCCGACCCTAAGGCGGATCCGCCATGGGTGGATCCCACATAGTCGTTGGTTGCCACCTCCTCTTGGGTCAGGCGCAACTCGTCACGGAGTCGATCCAAGCTCGCGTCCGCGGCTGCCCTAGCAGTCTGAGAATCCTCCAGATCCCGCTCGAGGTCGTGGATCCGGGATTGGAGCTGGTGGATCTCAGATCCGGCGAGCGCCATCTCCCTAAGGAGATGGTAGTTGTCATCTCGCATGCCATCTCGCTGACGGGAGGCGCGATCCAGCCGTCCGGTCAGGTCGCGGATCTCGACCGCTTGATCAGCCAAAAAGAGTCGTAGGTCCTGCGAACGAGAGGCCGCACGGTGCTCCCACCCCTGGATCTCCATAGCCTGGTCATGGACCTGGGCTCGCAAGGTTTGGAGTTGGGTGGCGTGCAAAGACGCAGCTTGGTCGCTAACATCTTGGGCCGTCTGGAGCTCTGCCGTCAAGGTTTGCACCCGATCGGAAAGAGCCTGGGCCAGGGTACGCAGATCGGTGGGCGACATTGAAGAGGGGCTGACCGGAGGAGTGGTAGATGGAGCCTTGCCCGGCAATTGACTGGTACGCTTGGTGGGAGACATGTGTCACGAAGAAGAGAGAGCGGTTGTGGATGCTGGTAGTGCACGTCGTGAACGCTGTTGTGCAGCGCCGACAACGTACAGGAGGCGATTGTGGTGTAGTGCTTTCTCAGAAATAAGAGAATGGGCCTGACGCGGGGTCACTATCCCGAATCAGTGACAATTTCAAGTGATTAGAGAGGATTTGGGGTTGTCTGGCACGGATGCAAGTTGCCTGTGGTGGGATCAGCCATGACGAGCAGCACCCCGTATGAAATGACGATGGATCTGGTATGAGCGATGTACGAGAAGGCAAGATCCACCAAGACTGATCTCGGATGCACCCTTACCTGGAATGCACTTAGATGGGATATGGCAGATACTATATAAGAGTGGACCGAGTGCGGGATCCTATGAAGGAATGATTGTAGGTGTCCTTCTTGAAGGTGGATCTAGTA